CTTCTTACTTCCTTTGACAATGGCGTAGTTGACTGTATACTTATTTCGGAAACTTGGTTAAAGCCTTCCCTTTCTAGCACATGTTTCTCTATCCCGGGCTATAAGCTTTTTCGCAATGATCGCACTGGTCTAGGGGGCGGTGGTGTAGGTATCTATCTGCGTAGTCATATTCTTGCCAGAGTAATCATGCATTCTCCATCACATTACACTGGCGCCATTGAATATTTATTTGTTGAGATTATTACACGCCATACAAAGATTCTCCTAGGGGCCCTTTATAGTCCAAACGATCAGGTGGATTATTTTAACTCTCTTGAGAGTGCGCTTGAGGATGTAGTGCCTGTTTACGACCAGATCATCTTGATGGGTGATCTTAACACTTGTCTTTTAAAAAATGATACTAGAGCTGGTAAGCTTAATAGTCTGACATCTTCTCTCAATCTCCATATTCTTCAAAAGTCGTCTCCAACTCATTATTTCCCAAACTCCAAACCATCTCTTCTTGATCTTGTTATTGTTTCTAACCCTGACTTGGTTGGTGCTCATGGACAAATGACAGCACCCTTTTCTTATCATGACCTCATCTTTCTATCTCACAAAGTACGTGTTCCCAAAGCCAAACCTAGAGTTCGTTTTCTGCGCAATTTTAAGCAAATGGATCTTGAACGCTTGAGGGTTGATATGAGAGATATAGATTGGTCTCCGGTTCTACTTGCTCACAATATAGATGCGATGGTGGAATATTTTACTAGTACTCTGACGAAAATGTACGACATTCATGCTCCAGTGCGACCAGTTCGCCTTAAACACATTCCCGCCCCTTGGTTGACTCCAGCCATTCGTAGAGTTATGGCAAAGCGTGACAAGGCTAAAAGCCGTCAAAAACTTTCACCGTCCATTGAGAACTTGCAAGCTTACAAGAAGTTGCGCAATCTTTGCAATAGGATGTGCAGGGATGCTAAGCGCAAGTATATTCATGATCAAATTGAGGGTTCGGACCAGAGGCAGATCTGGAGTTTCTTAAGATCATTGGGAGTAGGCAAGCCAACGGATACAAGTCAGAATATCATAGATCTCAATTCCCTGAATAAACACTTTTCTTCACCACCTTTGACTCTAGATAATCTTTCTAAGTCTAATACCCTCTCCCTATTGTCTAGTCTTAATCAACCTCAAAGTAATAATCATCCCTCGTTTTCTTTCAACTCAGTTTCAGAGGAGGACGTGGCAAAAAGTATTAAATCTATCTCCACCAAAGCCATTGGTGGTGATGGTCTTAGTCTAGACATGCTTCTTCCAGTGCTGGAGTACATTGTTCCCATAATCACACACATAATTAATTTTTCGTTGGAAAACAATGTCTTTCCGTCATCATGGAAGAAAGCTCATGTCATTCCCATTCCAAAAACTCCCAATCCATCTTCACTCTCCCAGTTTCGGCCTATTTCTATTCTTCCCTTACTCTCTAAGGTTTTAGAATCTGTAGTCCACAAACAGTTGTATTCCTTTCTCGTATCTAATTCCTTATTATGTCCTTACCAATCCGGTTTTCGCCCATCTCACGGCACAGTTGGTGCACTGCTCAACATAACTGAGGACATTCGCTCTGCTATGGACAACACCAAACTAACAGCTATCGTATTATTAGATCTGAGCAGCGCATTTGACTGTGTCGACTTCGACCTCTTACTCTCTACTTTAAGTTACTTTGGCGCGTCCTCTGTGATTGGATGGTTCCGTTCATATCTTTTCAATCGATTCCAGCGTGTCCAACTAAATGACGAATTCTCTGATTGGTCGAATGTATCAGCTGGTGTGCCTCAAGGAGGTGTTCTCTCACCTTTATTATTTTCGTTATTTATTAACAATATTTCTCGTGTCCTCTCTTGCCCTTTTCACCTTTACGCTGATGACCTGCAAATTTATAAAGATTTTGCCTTAGCTGAAATCACTGATGCCATTACTTTTTTAAATAGGAATCTAACATCCATTCAAAACTGGACTGCTTCGTTTGGTCTCTTAGTTAACCCGAATAAATGTCAAGCCATGATTGTCGGTAGTAGCAGGATTAGATACAAATTAGACTGGAACTTGATACCTCCCATTAAATATAACGACGTGCCTATACCTTACACCGATAAAGTGAAAAACCTGGGCTTAATTATGGATAGCACAATGTCATGGTCCCCACATATTAGTGAAGTCAGTAAACGTATTCATTACTCATTTCACTCCCTCAAGCGGCTTCAATTTTTTCTTCCCTTCAAAACCAAAATTATGCTGGCGCAATCACTCCTTCTCCCCATTCTCGACTACGCCGATATTTGCTACTTGGATGTAACTGAAGATCAATTGAATAAGCTAGAGCGTCTCCAAAATCTTGCAATTCGTTTCATATTCGGATTGCGTAAATATGAACGAGTTTCTGCTTTTCGCTCTCAATTGAAATGGCTTCCCATTCGTCTTCGACGTGATATGCATATCCTATCATTCTTGTTTAAAATCCTCAATGATCCTAGTTCTCCTCATTACCTTGTTTCCCGTTTCAAAACGCTTCCTCCTCCTACTCGTCCTAAAAGGTCTTGCAACACGAAGACACTGGAACTACCAAAAAGTAATACCAACTTCTTTTTCCATTCCTTTTCTGTTCGTGCTGCTTTACTCTGGAACAGACTTCCCTCTAATATTCAAGACTGTCCTTCTATTGTCTCTTTTAAAGCAAAGGTCAAAGAGCACTTTCTGGAAATAAATTCCCACTCTTAGTTGTCTATTTATTCCACTCTTTGTTTTATCTTAACATAATTTCATGTAATGTGTATTTATTATTTTATAGTGTATGTATGTATATGTATATATATGTATGTATGTGTGTATGTATGTATTTATTGTAAGTATTTGTGTATATGCATATGAATATATATTTATGTATGTAGTCTTAGATAGTTATATAATCTGCAAGTAAGTACTTAGTGCACATCTCTACACCCGCTTACTTTTTTCTCTCACTAAACCTTGGTTGGCTGGAAGAGATCTCTCTTAGAGATAAGCCCTCCTTTGCTCACATATTTATGTTTTGTATCTTACAATTTTTTGTGTGCAATAAAGAGTATATATATAAATTTGACAACAGTGTTTCCTTGTCATTATCTATACAGAATGAGAAGGAGAGACTGATGTTAAATTTAGTTTTAAGTTTAGAGAATCACGCTAGAATCGACACCACTATTGTGTTACAGTGATGCGCGCGCATCTCGAAATTTCACTCACATGATTTTTTCATAACGCGCCCGCGGCCAACTTCATGCTGTTACTTTTGGGTTACAGTGATGCGCGCGCATCTAAAAATTTCACTCTCATCATTTTTTCATAACGCGCCTAAAGAAGTATAACTTCAAAAAGTTGGTTCTATTCATAGACATAGTATCAAAATGTCTATGGTTCTATTATTTTGACACTTGATAGCAACGTCAGAGCGAAACAGTATATTGAGAATTTCAAAAAGGCGAGAGAGACAGACTCTTTTAAGTGAAACTTCACTTGACTCTTCGTTTGCGAACGTTGAACATGCTCGTTCGCTATACAAATACATTAACTATCCCATCTTCGCGCTTTGCATGCATTGTTTGTTTGTTGTGTTTATTTACTGTTTTTACTTTTCTATCTCTGACCGATTGCGCTGCTCAGTAGATTATTGAGTTTCCCAACCAGGGTTTACCACACACGTTCTGAAAATAGGTATAAGCTAAACGTGTTTCAGTCGGTAGATTTGTATTTGTAAATTGCAATGATTAAGTGGCTCAAGACATATCATAAAACGGTGAGTAGGTATTTTTTGTACCTACCTACTTAAGCAGACGTGTGACGAATGTTAAAAGCAGAAAATTTATAAAGGAGAGCAAAAAATATGCTGCCCAGAAAGATGAATTTAACAAGACAGAAGTGGTGTGATGCAGGCACTTCACTTGGCTATTCGTATATGCACTTGTAAACTTGACAACAGTCTGCCTTTTTCATTCCTTAAGAATAGCCAAGTGAAATGCAAGAAGCAGAAACATATTTACGTGTCGTTATTTTACTGTAGTGTTATTTGCGCCGCCGTTATAGGATATTTTGTAAACGATATAAATCTATATTTTTGTATGAGGCTGTACTATGTTTACTGTTTATAACTGATCCCACGATTTAAGTTTCTCGGGTTACTCAAAATTCACGGTGTAGACATAAAACATATCGCGTTTTTGTCACTTAAAACTAAATTTAATATCAGTTTCTCCTTTTCATTCTGTATAGAGAATGACAGGGATGCACTGTTGTCAAATTTAAGTTTAGATTTAGAGAATCATGCCAGAATTGACATCAATGTATGCCTAAGTAATCAGTATGGTAAGTGTGTGTAATGGAATTTTAGCGAGGCAGTGGCAACACCGGCAGTAGCAGAGTGACAGGGGTTTTTGGCGGGATTTCATCGAGTGCGGTTGGCGTCTTATTTTAATTATTCGTAAATTCGTTCATAGTGGATATTGTGAAATAAAATTGGTGTGGTTTTGTGTAACAACCATCTGCGTAACTGAAGAATTAGTGGAATCGTTAAAATATACGCTATTCCGGTCAAGTGGACGTGAGAATTTTATTGTAGTGTTGACTACCTCACAGAAGCTTATCGAAAAAGCCAACTCGATACATTTCGTGCCAAACACTCCAAGAAACATTGGAGTGTTTGGCACGAAATGTATGGAGAGACATTCTAATGTAAAAACAAAAAGAAGATTAATTTAATTAAAGACTGGGCTGTATGGGTATTGTTCCCTTTGCCTTCGCTAATACGGGAGAACTAAAAAAAAAAGTGACAACCAGCGACACACAGTGACACTGACAGCGCGACAGTATTTGGAAATTGGAATTGGTAAACATTGAAAAATTTAATTTTATTGAGTGTACTGTTTCATTATAAGTAATCGTTCAAAGTTAAAAAAAATGGTAACAACAACTTTTACTATTCAGGATATTCTACTTTATAGTTCAAACAAATCAAGTAACAAAAAAATGGATTTGGATGCAGTTTTACCATTTATAATCTTGCCCATTTTACTTTTAATAGCTACATTGTCTCACATAATCACTATAATAATTATGGTGGTAATAGGAATGGGCACTTTATACGTAGTCTCACGACCACGTCAAAAAAACAGGTAAATGAACCAACTAATTAATTCATGACAAGAAGTTTTACCATTAGCTTTTGGGTAACATAACACTAGGTCTTCCTATGCTTGCTGCTAAAATTTTGAATGCAGGTGAAGGACTAAATTCCATTAGTTGTGGTGGAATTTCGGGGTAGTTTTGATGTGAGGGGGAGGAGGGGGTCTCCCTGACTCCCCCCTACTAAAGATTTTAGTCGGAAATGCATGTTTTTTTTTAATTAACCTAACCTAAAAATTCGTAATTTTTTGAGGATGCAAGGACTAGGGAAGTAAGAACCAGTAGTTCTGCCTTATCTCCAGCGTTGCGGGAATAGCAGCCCCGCCGCATTTGCGTGACAAAGTCACAAGCATCACTCTCCTTCACACCTTCGGCTTGTTGGTCGCCACCTCCGGCGGCGACCAGCCTCAGGCGCTACGGGTCGCACGATGCTTGCGGCTTTGTCACAGCAGGCGGGGGCAGCTCTCCCTACGCGCCTCCGGGCTCTAAAAACACTCTGGGGGTAGGGCAGACCAAGACCACGGCATGTGGGGGTTGACCAAGTCGGTTCTGAATTAAAGATTGTTGTAAAGCCACATTTACCCTTTTTTTCTAAGTGTGGAACCCATGCTATTTCTTATTTACCAAGTAAATAATAGCAAATATACTTTTTACCGACAAACACAGACTGACTGACATTTCTCAAAATAAACACAAAACAGCGGGACATAATTATGTCATTTTGACAATAGTACCAACATAATCAACATATTTTTTACCATAGACAACGAGAAACATGTTATTTCTGCATGAAAAAATGGCAGCACTGATCAAAATGACTGTCAAAATTGACTTTAACCTACAAAAATATTAATTTACAATATTTTTTTTCTCGAGTTCTATTCGTTTCCGAATAAAAAGATTTTGTGTGTGTGTTCCTAATAATTAATACTTACCGTGACAAAAATCTTAGCTCGCTACTCAACCACAACTATTGGAAAGCTGAGCTCAGGTGAATGTAAAAGTGGTTCACTGTTTGACTCTACTTACATAAAATGTTTATTCTTAATTGTTGAGTACCACTTCTTAATTATTATTTTTTTGTAGGTCACCATTTTTCTTCTCATGGACTTTATCATCAGGCATATGCATGTTTCTCGTCTTTGAACTGGGAGTACTTCGATTACTTGAAATAACTCAACTTGAAAACTTCATATTTCTGCTACTTTTAGCATGTACATGTTATTTCTTTTATAAAATGAAAGCTATTGCTGATTATGAGTTAGCAACTGGTTCATCCAAAGGAAAAGTATACAGGTATAAATTACTCAGCTGTCAAACTTATTTGTTCAATAATTTTATTTCACAATTTATTGATATTTATAATTATTAAAGTATGTTTTTTTGTTGTTTTCAATGTTACAGTCCAGTTTTAACAGCAGATTCTCACTACTGCCAGATTTGTCAAATTGAAGTGAATGAGAAATTCTTTCACTCTATATGGTAAGAGATCTTCAGAGGCCAAAATATGAATTTTGACAGCTCTGTAGTCATTTCATCATTTTAAAATTTTGTATGGAAGGAGCCAGTTTGTTCTTACATAAAATAGTTAGTTAGATAGGGGCGCTGCTTTGGTTTCATAGAAACTTTGATGATGCGATACAATTTCAGAGCTGTCAAAATTGATGCCTGTCTATTACTGTAATTGTAAATTTAACTCTCATCTTATATTATTTTATTAATTCCAGGTGGGATTGTTGTGTACTTAGACCTAACTACATTCACTTCTTAGCTGGACAAGTATTTGCTTTTGGAACTCTTTTAGTTGGTGTCAATCTCGGACTTACAACAGTTTGTCAGCCGTTTGTATTTTATGGAACAATACTGTTGCCACAAGACTGTGAAGATGTTTATTATGAATTTGAGTAAGTTAATCCAATTGTTTATAAATAAAGCAGTTTTTACAGGTTATATGCACTGAATTTATTTATTTATTGATGTTTCGCATCCTCAATCCACAAGGAATGGATGCGAAACGTCAATAAATGAGTGATGTGCGTGAAAACCTTAGAAACCAATTGTTATTTCTCCAGCAATATTTTATGTAACTTTTCTAACACCACATTACTTGTGTACAGAAAACTGACTAGTCTCTGTTACCAACACATTCTGCCTTATTACAAAACTTGACTAAAGTTAAACCTGGACTAATACTGAAGCTGTGACTTTTGTTTGCTAAAAAGAATACAGAGGCAACATAAGGTTTAAACCTAGACTAACCATCCATTATCCATGTTTTGGAATAAAGCAGATTGAATTCCAGTAAACATGTAAAATATTTTGATAGTGACTTTTTTAAAACAAATTTGCATTGTTTATATCTTTGCAGGTTAGCAATATGTTTTGTAGCATGCATTTATGGAGTGGGATATCTGTTTGTTATATCCATAGTACTGCTTCACCAACTACTAGTTTACATACCTAAGTACAGTGGTAAGCTCTATCATTAACATTATATTGTCTCTAACATTATAGTAATTTGTTATTTACGGGATTGTTACCTTGTACATTGTTTTTAGCGAGTTTCCGATATTTTGGCACTGTTAATAATTCATCAACAGTGAAACATAGAGTTACTCTGTTTATTTATGGTAACAATTCCGTAAATAACATGAATTACTATATTATATAGTACAAAAGCGTTTTAGTTGGCTATGTTAATGAAAGGACAATGTTAAAATTGGCCTAAGAACCAACACCAATTTGGCATTTATGATAATTCTTAGTATATTGATTGCGATAATTATCAGTATTTAGATTGTGACGGACACTTCCAGTTAAGTAAGCTAAATTAAAAAGTTAAAAAATAATCTGAGACAATAAATACCATTTTATGTGTTTAATCTATGGCAGCGCTGCAAACAAAACACTCTTTCTTCCTAATGCCGGCACTTCACTTGGCTATTTGTATTTGCTATTTTAAAACATGACATCAGTCTGTCCTTTTCATTCCTTATTAAGCATGACAAGGACAAACTGTTGTCAAGTGAAGGGCCGGCCTAAAACTCGTTACTCTGTGGTTGTGGTGCATGCAGTTTGCATTCGTAGTAATCTGTGGCATTCGTGCATTCCAAAGAGTAGTAATAATAAACCGGAAAGTGCTTTCTCGTTTCGGATTACCTGTTGTGTGTGTTTATTTGCGATTATTTTTCCTTTAATTTAACTATTTCGGCTATCTAATATGCCATCGATGTTACCAAAGAGCAGAGCCCTCATTACCAAGTGCTAGTGAACTTGTGCCACAACATCCTGAGAGGATCATACTGCCAAATTATTCAAGAACACCTGATACACATTCACGCTGCATATTTACACAATATACCTATATGTGATATACAAATAAATACAATAAACAATATGATACAATTATGTGAAAAATAGCCAATAAATAATAAGAAGCAAAACTACAGTTTTTATTTTATTCATGATTCCTACCTAACCAAGTTTTTCCTAATAGTTATTCTATAAAATCGCACCGAATAAAATGAATTAGTTGTAATATTAATTCACTTCATACTGAGTTTATACTAAATTCATAGGTTGACCTATGTTTCATTGAATATTAAACATAACCTCAAAAAAATTTTAGTTTTCCTAATAATTTAAGTTCTCAGAAGTGTCCGTCAATAATCTTTGTTTTAACAGTCATTTACTTACGATTTTGAACCTAGAAAATAATATTTCATGATTGTTGGTTCTTAGGCTAACTATGTATGGACGCTGAACAATGTCCTTTACTAACAAAAAATTGGAATTAAATTTCAAAACAGAAACACCAACTTGTGAGCTAATTATATAACTCCAATTCTTTCCTATCCTTCTTGTATTTAAGCTAAGACAAGACGTGTTAATGTGACATAAGCTAATGTCTATCCCGTCTATTAAATAAAAGGAATATCACCCACCAAGCACTAGATTCATGTGCTCATATTTTGTGATGGGTATTGTTCATTGTTTACCGATGAGTCACCAATGACACTAATCGTAACACATTCACCAGTTCACCCCCAAGTAGTGTTGCCAGGTGTCTCGATTTGCGCAGGACGTCCCGATTTTCAGGGGCCTGGGGGCGCGTCCCGATATGTATCTGATCGGGACGATAAATGTCCCGATTAATCAAAAAAATAAATTGAGGTAAGTAACATACCTGTTAAATGGTAACATACTTTGCTCCAAAAAAGGGAATTATGAATATTGTTTACACTATTAATTATGAAATATATTCAGATGTATTAATTTAAAAAAATAATATGTTATCTAACATATTTTTAAAGATAAATCAACGTAATAAAGTTTATCATAATATATATAAAACTATGAAGGATAAAACTATGAAACATAATATATAATAAAACCTAGGTATATTCCACAAATAATCTCTATTGTAGAAGCTTTTTGAGCAAAGTTATACTTATGTTTTTATTTATTTTTAAGCATTTAACTGCTAGATGTTTAAATCAAAAGAAAAGTTTACTAGAAAAAAATCCACGCGGACCAGGCAGAGAACGGGACTCGAACCCGCACCCTTCGCAATCCGGGCGAATGCACTGACCATTATGCTACCACGGTCCTATTAGCCGCGTCGAAATTTTCCTAGCCTTAAGCTGCAAGGGAGCGCCATCTCTTCGCATTGTAGGTAACCCACAATGTCAAATGAATACTGTCACTGTAAGTTACTGTGTCTGTAAGTTATACTTTCCTTATTCAATCTATGCTCCAGTTATAATACGCTTTACCTTTTTTGATAGTATCAATGGTCGAAAAATGGGTAAAATTTAAAATAAACTGTGTTTTTGAAAGAAACAATGTTATATTCTTAAATTTAGTTACAAAATCACTTTGTTTCATTGGTTTTTTTTATATTCTTAAATTATAATAGGCACTGCTATCGTAACAAGAAACTTGGTTACAAATGCTGGACAAAAATCAGTCGACAATAAACTAATGAGATAAACTTCTCAAAAATTAAAACTTTTCAAAATTATAGTTAAAAAATAACCCCTCAAGCGGTCAGTTCAGGAACGGAATATATTTCACAGCGAGTACTAATTTTTAAGGGATATCAATACATGCCAATATATCCTGCCAATCGAATTGAATTTCATCAACGGGTTTAGTCCACGTCCAGGATTTTAGCGACTTCCTCATTAAAGAGACATATATTCCCCTTCTTTAGTTATTTTTCTAATTTCCTTGCTAAAAAGTATTAATAAGCACTTACAATGAAAAAAAAAAATTTACTTTTGAACGGCTTATGTTTGGGTTTAGTTTGCTCCAGGCGCAAAGTTACCCTACCTTACCAAAGAAAATATGAGCACGCAAAAAATGAGAGGTTAGATTATGACCAACTCAGCAATCCAATTAAATAATTACGCATTCGTTTACCTGATTATATAATTAATAAAATTAAAACATAATTACCCTAATGCATTATGCAGATTTCAAGATACGAGTAGAAGTGGCTTTTTCAGATACAAAAAAATAACTTTAAGGTCTTGCACTACAGTTGCACCTGACTTATGAAAAAAATTGCGGATGAAAATTTTTACAATTCAGTGTTGCCACTTATAAGTAAGATGTTTCGGGTGCAATCACAGTTAAATGAAATGTTGCACCGATTTGGACATATTAAACGATAAAACATTTTAGAAAATTGGAGCATAATTACTCTTAAAGGAGCAAAGTAGGAACATTTTGGTAATACTATACTTGCACTAGTAGTTTAACGCAATAAATTAAACCCAGACTTAAAAACCCCTTGTTTTTTGTTTACTGTCTCGATCTGAAACTCTAAATCCCGATTTTTTGACCTCATGTACCGATCTAAAACAAATCAGACCTGGCAACACTACCCCCAAGTCAAGCGTGCCTAAAGAATTTTCACTTCAATTAAACAAAATCGCTGATTCTAAGTATATACACTTATACATTCAATATTATTTCTTTGCAGAACCCCAATGGAGGAGATTAGTGAATGTACTCAATGTATGAAGGGACTTCATTCAGTAACTTAAGTTTCTGAAGAGTACTGTGACTGAATAGATAACCACAATGTAATATACTAAACACTATTATCTACACAGTAGCAGCTTCATAGTGATATCCAGAATAGACACACGGGTATTTCAGCTATACTCGAGATATGTCAGTAGTCAGTGCATTATAAAATCTTAATTTAATTGTACTTATTGGCCAGATGCATGACCTTATTGACATTATCATGTAAGTGTGCATATGCCTCATTCGCTGGTTTCTATGAAGCTGCGCTTCTGTGTGTTTATAATTTTATAACTAGCTAACCTACACTTTTATAAAAACTGTTACTTAAAAGTAATTTAATCACACTTTTTATATATGATATCACTAACATTCTACCCTATCTAGGGATCCCTACACACAAGCTTTTACTCCAATTCTAATAATGTTGGTATATCATGCAATTACATGATGTTACATTATAGTGAAATAGATCATTTTGACCCGACTGCGCACGCAAGCAGCGAGACGCGCAGAGAGGGTATTGTGTTTAACAGTCTATATATGAATGTGTATATGTTCCTTTGTGGCTCATAGAGACCAAATGCGTGGACCGATATTGATGATTCATACGTCAATCTATACGTCTTAATCATAAGAGTGCTACTAAAGACATGATAGTAATCGAAATTCAATATGCTTAATTATAATTTTAGTTGTCTTCAATCCAACATTTCAAATGTGTTAAGTATTAAATGAATTGTTCTTTTTTCTTTAAAAATTATATTTACTTATTTTTATTAAATAGCATCAATTTTCTTTGCATTATGATACGATATTTTGTTCAAGTTCTATTGTTTTATTGACTTGATTTGTAATAGTACTTAGAGTATACATGAGTGCATAGCTTCAATAAATTAGTGCATTAATTTGATATCTAAACGAAATTGCTCACTCTCTTATTCTGTAATTTTAAATATAGTTATTTCTGCCATATGATGGTTTCGATAATCACTTAAAAGTACTTAGAATAAAATCGATTCTACCAAGAGTCTACCAGTGAGGATGTCTTTCTTTTTGAGTAAAAGAGTAGTTATACTCCCACTGCCTCGCCTATCCTATCGTCGCACGTAGTCGTCTCCTTTAAGAGTACATCATCAGCCTATTAATGTCCCCACTGCTGGGATACACACCTTCCCTATGGATGGAATAGGGAGACTGGGCCGTGACCCAGTGTGGATTGATTGGTGCTACCCATTGCAGATGCAGCCGGGACCAACGGCTTAAGGTGCCGCGCTCAAGATAATAAGTTTTTGGTCACCCATCCAATGACCGACCATTGCGAATGTTACTTGACTTTCACGATCGCAAACCGAATACGCTAACCACCTGCGAAATCGAGGTCCTTTTAGAGTAAGCAAAATAACTAAATCTAACTAACGGCCACACTCGGAGTCACCTTTTTACTTCTTATTCCTTGTAGATTATTTTAGTTTATTATCCCTTCTAGTTCTGCATCAGGTGGAGTTAAATAAAATGGCATTTATCCATTACAGGGTGATAGAGAAACTTTAACAGGATTAATTCATTATTTTTGTTAGTAGGTAGCCAATCTGCCTCCTCAATTTTTCATAATCCATAGCTGATAGGGTTCATTCACACCCTCCAAAACAGGCAACAGTTACGTGTTAAGTATAAGGAATGGATGGTAAAGGAAAAAAGTTAATAGTAGTAGGTATTCATCATAATTCGGTATCCAACAAGGTCTCCTGCCGTAGATTTGCGAACCGATGGCGTAGCTTTTCGACATTCACAAGTGCTTGTAACAGCCTAGACTGAATAAACGATATTGTTTTTTTTTTAATTACATATTTGGCACGCCACGAATTCCGACATTAATGAAGTGTAGATTCGAAGCACTAGAATAGATATTTTTGAATTCCACATATCTGCGAGACTGCGATCACTTATTTTAAGAACAGAACTGATGTAATTTCGGTACCTATGGTATTAAAATATATTTTTAAGGCCAGACAGACGCCAATTAATTTTAACGTTTCGTTAATTGACTTGTCTTAAATTTATTATTAATGCAACGGAACAACAAACTTTAATTAAACTTAATTTAATTAAATGGCGAATAATGGTTTATTTTATTTAGTTATAAATGTTTATATTTTATTAATTATAATGTTTTGTTATACCTAACTTTATCTAGTCTTATAAAGAATACACAAATGAACTAAATTGTCTGCTTGTATTGTTTATTTAGTATTATTACCTACATGCATAGCAGTAGAAAACCTTACAGTAAGCTTATTTAACTTATTCATGAAAAATGAAATAAATATTTGACATAAAAATGTGTAATATTTTATTTTTGAATCTATTTACATGTTGAAAAAGAACTATAGACTAATCTTAATTATTTACTTAGATATATGTAGTTATCCTTATTTGTTCATGAAGTATTTCAATATTTCACAAAGAGTTCACTCATATTCTAAGACGAATAGCCATATAACCGATCTTGAATAAAACTAATTATTATCTGCCTACCTATAAAGTAATTGAGACTATTTATGTTGAGTGATAGACAAGGGCCTCGCCAAGGGGGCAGTGCCGTTAATAGGGCGGTGCCACTGGTGCCCAGGCACAGGGCGTAGACTCTGGAGGGGGCCGCAGGTAGAACTATTATTTTTTTGGTTTGCTCCTGATAAGTTCCCGCTGCGCCCCTAGTGCTCGATTGCAACACATACGTACCTACCTATGTAGGCACTGATACTGGCACATGCCAGTATCATCAAAACGTCTATTAAATTAGACAAAATATGTTTCCCCATGTACTTCGGTTTTTTGACTACGGAACCCTAAAAACAATGGCGCAGTTATAGAAGCTCGCACAGGGCGTAGAAAAGGCTATTTACGGCACTGCAAGGGGGGCGAGGAACCCGCCCCCCTAAACACAAAAAAGGCATATATGTATAGTAACCGAAGCCCTCAATCCACTCATTTGCCTTGCTTGTCTCACCAAAACCTGATGCATGCGTTATAATATAGGCATGACTCTTTATTCGCACTCAATTTTCTTCTACCGGATCTTATATTATTTCCGATCCTATCTCATAATTATCTTATGTAGCTTCCTGCATCTCCCTACACTTCCCTTTCTCTTTTTTTTAATACTCTATTTTTTCAGTTTTTCTTATCAACTCTCATTACTTAAACTCATTAAATAAAAGTACCGAAACACACACAACAACCAAATTGAAAACCAGAGTTGAAAACTAAATTTCTGTGGTTTTATGAAACAAACTTAGTTTTTTTTTCATAAAACCACAGAAAGGAGATTGCTCAAATTGGCCCAAATGCACAAAAAATATTGACATACACGGTAATTCTTGGCGTAATTTATAATTTAATTTGCAGTCATTAGATTTCGACGGACACCTTTGTATAATATATTTACTTTAAAACTTAGATTAAAACAAAAAGGGTAGATACGGCACTAGCCTCACAAAAGTGATCCGCATTAATTGTGGCCCAAGGCCACAATCGCTTTAGTCACAACTTGACATGCAAATGACGTACATGTGAACGTCAAAAAGAAATATTGCTAAAATTTTGTGATTATAAGATAAAACAATGTCTAAGTGTTGTTTTAAAAAGTGCTCAAATTGCTCAAGTACTAAAAATAAAACCGACGGCATCACTTTTCATTCGTAAGTACTATAAAATATATTTTTTCATAAAAATGCTGTTTGTTTTGAATCTTATTCGGTATTTGTTATTAAGAAAAAGACAACAACACTTGTAAACGTTTGTATGAGGGAGAAAAAGCATAAACGCGAATATTTGCCATTGTAATGTCAGTCGAGAGTAAAAATTGGGTAGAGTCAACATAAAAAATATTTCGTAATTCTTTTTTGGAATATTAATTTATGTAGGTAAAAAATATGCTGCATTTATTAAACTCATTACATTTTGGTTTCTTCGAAGAGGTTTATTTATTTTTTCAGACATTTTAGCTTTAATATACTCTGTACATACAGAAATGGCATTTTCATTCTTTGTAGGGTTTAAAATTGTTTTTGTAAGTAATCTTCTTCTTCTTCCAGTGCCTCTTCAATCCTGAAGGTAGGCCGTTAGCTTCCTGTATGTAGTTCTATCAGCAGCCAGCCGGAACAACTGTTCGACGGAGGCAATACCGGTCCACTCCCGGATATTCCGGAGCCATGACTTTTTTCTTCGCCCAGCACGTCTCTTTCCGTCCACTTTGCCTATCATTATCAACTGCAGCAGCATGTATCTATCGTTCCTGAGCACGTGGCCAAAATATTCTATCTTGCGCTTTTTGATAGAAGGCAACATTTTCCGGGACATATGAACGCGCTGAAGCACGGTTTCGTTCTTGACCCTCTGCGTCCAACTAATGCGTAACATGCGACGGTAACACCACATCTCGAATGCCTGTAGGCGTCTTGTAGTGTCTTCTTTCAGGGTCCACGTTTCGCAACCGTACATGACAATAGGCCAGATATAGCACATGAGTAGCCTGACTCGGAGCTTTATATTCAGTTGACGACAGCAAAGAACTTTCCTCATTTTATTAAAAGAGGCTCGAGCGATTTCTATCCGGGTCTTGATTTCTTGATCAGATTACCATGCTTCATTTTGTAATAAAACAGCATAAATAATATAAAATAAGGTAATAAATAGCAAGATCATATGTTCAAAATTTTCATATCAACATATCTCTGTAATGTTTTGATTATGTAAATAAGAAATAAATACTTGTCCAATACTTTTATTAATCTACCTGACCGACGAAGAAAAAATGGTTTTGTCATCAACCCTATTGCCACACAGTAGGTAGGTACCTAGTAAGATTCTTACTTCTGTTATAAAGCCCAAGGCATAACTTATGTTTATTTTTATTTATCGATGATGATTATTGTTTTTGTTATTTAATTTTACCTTTATATTTTTTTATTATTTAAATGAATAATTTAAAG